CCCCGAAACAAAACCTGGGTGTGGCTTAAGAGTTTGGCAGGACCTTTAGTGTGCCTTGGGCAGAAAAAGTATTTAAAAACAACTGATTTAGAGTACAGAGAACCACTTTAATATCTCTAAAGAAGTATGTCTGTGTTATCTGCAGTGACTTCAAGGTTGTACATCTCTCTCTTTTATCTCAATCATCAGTAAGGGCTAGAAATATTTCCTCTCACCCGATTTTTTCACAAGACACTCCCTTTAACAAACCGTCTTTAATTGTAGATTTAACAGAAAACGTTTCCCGCTGCACTATTTTCCTACTTCAAACAATGAGAGTCATTTAACTGGCTCCGTTTCCGTGTATATTTAGCATGTTGCGCAGGCAGGAATGTGTTTATCAGCCGACGATGAATGGCTGCTCTGTGTTATTCCAACAGAGACTGGGATCAAAATAATGTAGCATTTGCCAGATGAACCGTCTTTGCTTTGAACTCTTCACACATTCACTGCATGCCTTTATTGGAGCTGTTAAGGTCTCGAAAGCAGAAGGCTGAGGCCAAGCACAGTGGGAGTCAGCATGTGTGACCAAAATGAACACCCATGGCAGGTCAAACTGTCTAACAGGGGTACAAAGTGTTTATGTGAACAAATTTAGATGGAGGCCTCCTTCATCGTGCCCTTGCACTTCTAATAGAGCAACTGAGAAAAGCATAAATCCAGATTAAAATAAACTCTGAGCAAGCTTTTCCAAAATTACAATGAACTGTCCTAAAAACAGCAGTCTCTGTTTTATGCAAGCGGTATTAAGACAAGCACACTTGTTATCGTTGCTGTTACACTGGCAGGCTTTGCATTTCCATTAAGAAACCGCCTGCTTTGCACAGTACTTCCTTCATGAGGTCTTCTAAGAATACTAAGGTTAAACGCACTGTCAGTCCTCTGTGTTTATTTACCCTCCACCATATTATGGAAGTCAGAAATAATTGTATTTATTTTGGGTTTGTTTACAATACTGAATGACTGGAGATTTAACATACAGTAAACAGAGCAGCTGTGGCTGTATATAGAACACTGTCTTTATTGTTTACAGTAGTTTATATTAACAGAGGGTACCCATATGGAAAATAATTAAAAACTATTATTAGCATTGTCTAACTGATACTATGACTTACCGTACTCATAAAAGTGGCTCCCCCCCACATTTCTCTCCTTTTTGTATTAGAAATCTGCTAAAGAATCCTATTTAATTAGTAAATCATAGTATAAGACATACAGGGCTCACATAAATAACTCATAGAGCTCTTTTTGATGAATAAAAGTAAGAATAAAAGTTAGATAAAGAAATGTTTCATTTCTTTTTAACGAAGACATTGCGCTTATAAAACATTGAGAGATGCTTAACTTAACTTAAATAGATTACTTCCAAACAGCAGACTCTTGGATTGCAATGTTAAAAGCAGAAGTACTAAAAATCCCAGTTCTTGGAGTGAAAATCCAGAAGCAAGTCAATCCACACAGACTCTCATATTAAAATACCCAAATTTAGCTATAGAAACTGTTTACAGCATGGTTGAAAACAAAGACATTGGTACTTATGGATAGTTTCTCCCCTTATTAATTATTTTTTAATGGAGTACTGTGTTGAGAGAAATATTAAAGCTTCCTTTCCAATTAGTTGTACTAACAGCTCATTTAAGAAATCTGTGCTCCAATTTTGGTGATTGAAATATTTTATTATTTGTGTAATGCACTCAATAGGAGGTTTAATTCAATTCAATTTCAGTTATATTTATATAACGCCAAATCACAACAGTGGTCACCTCAAGTTGCTTTATATTGTAAGGTAAAGAACATTAACAATCATATGACCCCCTATGAGCAAGCCTTTAGTGACAGTGGAAAGGAAAAAACTCCCTTTTACAGGACTAAACCTCCAGCAGGACAGGTCAGGCGAGGAGCGAGGCCATCTGCCGTGACCGGTTGGGGTGAGAGAGGAAGCAGGACAAAGACACGGTGTGGTGTCTGTCTGACTTCAAAAATTAAACATATAGTTAAAATGTGGGCACCAAAACCAAACATCTTTTTTTAATATAGGCTGTGGCTCCATCCTGCTATATATATTACTGAGAACTTACAGTATATATTGCAGCTGAATCCATTTTTCTTAGCATCCCGTGCAAGCGGTTATTACTAAAAGCTAGCTAAGGATAAATTGGTTTTACCCAGAAACACAATCTCCAGAATGTCCAGATCAGGTGTTGTGTTTACATCAGCTGATCAAATCCACTGATCTCTCTGCCAAATAAATATTTAACTCAGCCACAAACCGTAGTGCATAAACAATTAAAGCTAACGGTTTGAAGTTGAGTAGGTCACGTCTATATCAGTAGCGAACAGATGATGGAGTGAAATCAGAGCCTCCTGGGTAAGGTGAGGCTAAAGATAACAAAGGGGAAATGCATGCTACGGACACGTGAAAAAAAACTGCCCAAGATAAAATGATAACGACAGATAAATGTCCATTCAGAGCATCCCTGCAGGCTCGTGTGACACTGAATGCAGCTCAAGTTTAGCATATGGCATTAAGCAGTGCTGACCACAGACTGCATGAGGTTGCGGCAAACAGCTACAGACACATGTTGGTAGCCTCAGCGATATCCATCTTGGCTCTGCAACGAAAAGCTGCTTTTGACAGGTGGGCAGCAGCTTGTGAAAAATAAGCTTTTGAGGAGCTAATGTGGCGGTGGTAGCGTGGTGATGATGGATACTGAACTGAAAGCTGACACAGGTGTCAAAACAGCACTTCATTGCCATGACAAAGTTAAGGCAAGTTAAAACACATTATGTCTGACAGCCTAGATGTCATTTGTTATGCTCTTGGGGAATATGCAAACAAATTATTTAACTACAGGATGAAGAATGATGTCAAATATTTCCAACTACTGGCTGTAACCCAGTCTGTAAACCTTTTAAAGCACAGAAGTTGGGCTTTGTATAAATCATATGGGGTTAAAGGGCACTTTGATGGGCTATCTCTCTAAATACACATTAGTTATTTTGCATGTTAACTCAGCAGCTCCACAAACCCACTTGTTTGTGTAGTGAGATACCCCTAAAATGTTTAATGCTCTATGAAACTGTAAATGCTTGTTATTTCGCTATATAAAATCATTGTTAACATTCATTTGATTCATGTCTTCACCTTGTTGTGCAACACATTCATACCTGGTTATTCATTAACTATGGTGATGACTCATCTGGTGACTTTGGGAGTGCGGCTAACCAGAGCAAAGGAAGTTTTTGAACACTACACCACTGATATGAACCGACATGTTCAGCCACACACAGCTTCTCGTTGTTTCTGGAGCAGTATTTAAAAGTTTTAGGTGATTGTCCACGTGCAGCTGAGAAAAACAAATTCTAAAAATATAAAAAAAGGTCCAGAAATAGACAGATACTAATTTGTCATATTGCAGTTTTATTAAGTCTGCAACAGTTATATGTTTGTATTTTTGGAGTACATATGTTGGTTAGCAGTGCTGGTCTGTTTGTACTCAGGTGACCTATTTTTTTGAAGTGGCTATAAAAGGCAGTACAAAGTACAAATTTATACACGTTTGGGCAATAAAATCTGTAGCTGTTTTTAAACATTTCCACTACAGATGTGGGAGGATTATCCACGACCTGTATGGGTTTTATTATTGTCGCATCTTTTTCTTATAGTTACCTAAGATTATGATGCACAAGATCTTAGATAACCATTAGCACGACTCACAGCGTAGGTGGACATGACAATAAAAACAAAAGCGTGTAATACAAAAGACTTTGAAGAAGAACTTATAGTTACTGTGGTTTTGCATTTTAATTAGTTCAGTTTTTGTTTTCACTTTATTTACAAGGTCTTGAATAACTAGGCCACATCTTATCTTTAAGACCTCATAGTACCATATCACCCCAACAACTTCGCTCTCAGACCACGGGCTTTCTTGTGGTCCCAAGAGTATTTAAAAGTAGAAGCCTTCAGCTTTCAGGTCTCTCTTCTTTGGAGCCAGGTCCTCGCTGGGTGCTTCCCATGAGTGTTTCTTTTTCTCTGACCCTTTTTTCACTAACTGTGTTTACACACCTCTCTGCATTTAATTATTAGTTATTATTTATCGCTGGTTTTCTTCCACATTGTGTCTTTTGTCTTCTCTCCCTCCCCTCACCCCCAACGGGTCATGCAGATGGCTGAGCCTGGTTCTACCAGAGGTTTCTTCCTGTTAAAAGGGAGTTTTTCTGTACCACTGTCGCCAAGTGCTTTCTCATAGATGATCGTTTGATTGTTGGGATTTTCTCTGTATTACTGTAGGGTTACTACTCCACAATATAATAAGCACCTCGAGGCAACTGTAGCTGTGATTTGTTGCTATATAAATATTGAAAAAAAAAAAGTTTTACTTTCTGGAGTTGGTTTGCTTGTTTTAATTTAGTTTTTATTAGTTTTATTATTGTTGGTGGCTATTTGTCAGGGATTAAACTGCAGTGGTTCAGAACATGTATTTCTTGCCTAGAAATCAAAACATAAACAGATATATGCACCAAAGCCTCTTCAACGCCACTTCACACCAAAGAGGTTCCCAGTTTGAACCTTCCTGATCAGATCGGGCTTTTCTCTTTGGAGCTTGTTCTCCTTATGTCTGGTGATCCTGAAATTGGCCAGATATCTGGTTATCTGTCTTGCCTTTGCAGCCCAGTGATGGATTAGCAACCTGTCCGGTGTGCTACAGCTGGGATAAGCTCCAGAACCCCCACAACCCCGGTTAAATGACACTCCAGTCGCACAGGCCTAGAAACCAGTCTATGTCTTCCTGGCAACCACAACCCCGACTATTTGGCGAATGGGTGCTGGAGGTTTCTAGCAGGTTTCTCGGTGAAACTGCACCACCAAAAACTGTTTGGCCACCTGTTTTTTGCACTGAAGACGCAGCCCGTTCTCACTCCCGAGGCGTAACATGTCAACGTTTTGTCACGTCCCGCGGCGTTCCTGAGGAACGCGAAAGGAGACCTTCGGCGTTCTTATGGTACGCGGCGGGTTATGGCTGGAATCCAGTGCAATGACGCTCCCGCGGTAATAGACGTTCCAGCCCTGTATTCCAGCCCTAAACCTAACCTTATTCCTAGCCCTGACCATAACCTTATTCCTGACCGTAACCAGGACTTTAATGATGTTAAATAGCGTGTTTCTAAGCGATCTAGTTTTTTTTTTGTGTCAGTGGTGTTTTTTTTATTATTATATGGAGAACATATGTCAGAGGGAAGAAGTAAGAAAATCAGTGCAGGTATTACAATTAAAACACAGAACGTTTTGACTCACAGCAGAAAGGAGTGGACTCACAGTCTTGTCTACAGACTCATTAAACACATCCATCAAAGCCTTATTGGCAAGTTGTGAAACAATTTTTCCAAATTAACAACTTTCTCAATTTTTTTTCTTTTGTTAGCAATTTTTTTTAGGAGTCAAATTTTTTATTTTTATTTTTAAAGATAATTTACAAGTTTTTCCATATTTATTATTTATAGTTAGGCATGAAGCATGTTTTGGGCCTTCTAGAGTGAAAGTATAACTGAGATTTACCTAAGCAAACGTAACTATTTTAAAAATAAATGGACTGACTAATTAGTGGAGGAAGCCGTCCTACTTGACATTCTGCTAAATGGAGGGGGGTAGGGGTGGAGACTGACACTTGATATTTCACAAACACTGGCTGGCAGTGGCACCAAGGAAAGCAACACACCACCAGTTTACTGGGAAAGGCTCACACTTTCATTCCGCCTACATTACATTAGCACCACACACATGCACGTCCACAGATGGCTGGTATGACTACGCAGCGCTCTAGTATCATGCAGTTAAATTTGAATCAGTGCTACACACCAGTAGACTATCTGGAGTCAGGCAGAATATTTCAGAGGCACTTTATTTATATCAGCAAGGGGCACCACTTTTCCCACTGCTATAATTAGTCTGGGTAAATACTTAGGCCAATTACTCATAGTGCTAACAGAATAATAAAAAAGGAAACTATTCAAAAGATGAGTTCACACACCGACAGACACACAAACAGGTTGAAAGGGAACCTTTCCCTCTTATTCACTGATTTCTGGGAAACTAATAAGCAGATGGATTTACTGTAATGCAACCGAATACCTTTGAATGTTTGTCCACATTGGGCTTGTTAATTGCATGACTTAGCTGTAGCGATCTTCTCAGTTACTGAACCTCACTCTTTCTTGACCCGCAGTAAACTGAGTTTTAAGAATGTGAATGGCAGAGCTGTATATCTGTATATCTATACAGACATAAAATACACAGAACTATTTGAATGTTGAACTTTATGCATGGGAAAATTAAGCACAAAGTCAATATAAAATATAGTTGTTATTTGCATTACTTTACACAGTCCAGCTGTTATTTTAGTCCCGTGTACATGGCAGTTAAAGTCAGTGCATGTGGAATCTCCTGGAACCAGTTTAACAACATTTCAGTGAATCCACTTTGTTCTTTACCTTAACATGCTTTCCTGAGCCTTGCTGTGTCACATAAACTTAAAAAAAATGCTTATTTGACAGCTGTTATCTTCTCTATACACTATGAGGTATAAGGCCTGGGACCTTCCATTTAAGAAACTTACCTCGGCACATTGACCTGAGCTTATGGGTGTATTATTCCATTTGTTGCCCGTGTTTATATCAGGAAGAGAGGTAGGCAACTTAGCCGGGCAGCAAGAAGACAAATGAATGTGCACATGTGGAGAGCAGGGGCTGCTGAGTTTGGGATTCGAAACGTGACATGAAATTCCAGTGTTGGCGTAAGGCACCTCGAGGGAAAAGCTCCTCTGTATGGCGTGATGACAGTGTTTTTCCTGGTGGCCTTTTCCTGATGAACAAGCTTTCAGGTTTTTCTCAGAAGGTTTAGTTGAGGAGAACAAACAAGCAGAGGTACTACGATAAAGTTTCTTGTGGCAGTCGCGATCACCCTCTGGGTGCTCTGCTGGGTAATGAGCCTCGGGATATTCCACATTGACTGTAGCTGTTGTTGTGGCTCCTTTTCCTGATATCATTGGTTTCTGGTGGGCAAAGCGCAGCAACAGGCTGCTGGAGTGACGATTTGATCTGTCTAGAGATGATGACACTTCCTTTATTTTGCTCATGTCCTCTGTTTTAGATTTTGGTTCGTCCTGTAAGGGAATATTAAACTGCACCATGTGTTTGGTGTCCCTGAACTCAGCTGAACAGCTTTCTTTTGGGAAGCGATGGCCGATTACTGCCGTGTTGGTGGACCCTTTGGAAGTCACCTCCTCATCTGTCAGTGAGTATCCATTAACAGAAGTCTGAAGAGATGACTGATTAGAGCCCTTCCCTATAGGGAGCGCAGGAAAAGCCACTGGACTTACTGGGGAAGCAGGTGGGGTGCTGCAGGGGCTCTTTGGGAATATAACTAAGGAGGAGCACCGCCTCAGGGGGACCTTGGACTTGCAGCAGTGTAGACTCCTCTCTTGGGTGGTCTTATGCTTTTCTGGTGCCTCTGGCTCGAAGATGCTGTTACTGCTACAGTAGCCGCCATCGCTGGCCATGCTGCTGCTGCACGAACCCCCGTCAGAACCCGCACACGCTCCTCCTCCTTCACCAGCTCCTGGTTCTCCATCCTCTACGCTGCCATCGACCTGTCCGCTGAGCTTTCCACAGGGCTGGAGTGAGATCTGTAGAATTCTCTTCTTATTACATCCTCCGGTGTTAACCCTGGGTATGAACACTGAAGAGTATTGATTATAAGCATAATCTGGTGACAGAGGAGTCACCTTCAAGTGGACAGAATTGTGCGCCAGACTCTCCGAGGGGCTTTGAGCTGACACACTGACTCCGCTTTCCTCACCATGGCTGCTGAGGCTTTCTGACAGAGGGTCCGTGCTGCTTCTCCTTGACGCAAAATGCAAGCGGAGCCGACGTGCCATTCGTTTAACTCTCTAATCCCTGCAGCGCCAGCGGGAGCTGCATGATCAAACTTGCTGGCTGGGAAAAGGAGAGCAAAGCAACTGCTCCAAACTCTGCTCTGTGATCACAATCATTAGGGACTGCGCATTGCCAAAATAGCTCTGGTGACAACCTACATTCCTCTCCAGGCGGACCATGGCTTTTAGTCAGGGGAGGTCAGTGGTTCTGTGTGGAGGCATGACCCAAACAGATGACCTTTGAAAACAGATTAATCTCACTGCTGAGCCCCCTTTAAAGACACGGCCGCGGAGCAGAAAGCAACACTGAGAGTTGAAGGAAAAAGCGGACCTGCTTCATAGCCTTAGCTCAGGGCTAGTTAACTGCACCCTCTGACAAATGCGTAGCACCTCACATCTGCTGCTGCCACTTCACTCCTGTTTACTCCCTTGGGGAAAGAAAAAAACAACAACAACGCGGCAGTCGTCCACGCTGCATCTTCGACTAAAGCTCTGGTCAACTGTTACTTCTGCTTCAGGCCACTCACCCAAGACTTCACTTCCTGCTGCAGCTATGCTTCTTATGTTTCTGCTGCTCTGCGCCCCCACAAATATTTTTACCCACTGCTATTGAATTACAGGAAATCAAAGGGACTGACTTTCAACATAATTCTGCTTCAGAGTGAGGACTGGGTGACAAAGCTCAGCTAGCACACAATAAAAATGCCAAAGAAAATAAAAGAGCACCCAAACAAATAAAAACACTAATAAAAATGCTTTTTGATCCTCAGTGACTGAACAACCTGCTGCAAATCATCTGCTTTACTGCAGAAAATTCAACACGATAAGAGGGAGAAAGATTTGTGGGACCGCGGTGACGCGACACCAGTCACTCAACACTTCATGTAACAGTCAGTGCTCATCTGATTTCCTCTCCACGCCTGTTACTCTGATATTGCTCTGCCTCTAAATCGGTTTTAGCATAGTCTTTAATAGTAAGACGCCAGGCCAGGATAAAGCAATGATTCACCGGTGGACACTTCCTGCTGCGGTGGAAGTCATCACCTAAATTTTTAAGGAGCATGACAAACTGCCAGAAAAAACCCATGATTGGCCATTAATCACTCATCCAGGCAAAAGCAGCTTTAACTGATGTTGACGGTATCTAGGCCATAAGACAAGGCTGGTGACGCACACCGCACGTTCATGTTAAGTCACAGCAAAGCTGCCTGGAAATAGACACAAGAATTTGGCATGACAGCGAAGATCATGCTTTGCATTGAAGGATAAGTTATATATTTATTTAATAAAGTCTTCAGCGAAAGTGTCTGAGGTGAGGTCATCAATAAATTGGGTCAGTGGGGTGTGGCTAGAGTAGAGGCTGGGCATCTATTAAGGTGCAGCCCTAAAGAGCTTTGATGTTTTACGATCAAACAAATCAGCAGAAAATATGGCTGAACTGATAACGTTGTCCTAGAGGAACAAGGGGCACTGATTGACATCTGACTGGGGTGTCTGAGAGTTGGTGTGTGTAAATGTGTTTTATACAACTCATCACGCATGAAGTAATCAAACTTTTAGAGAGCTGAGTAGCATTTCTCAGATCTCTGTCCAAGAAAATATTGACAGGCATTTTTAATCCATCCATGCATACATTCTCTTCTGCTTATCAGGGTCACAGGGGGGCTGGAGCCTATCCCAGCTACCCATTTTTATGGTTAGAGAAATATTATAAAGGTGATCGAACATCTGCTGCCAGTGTCCAAAAGCCAAACAGGGCGAATGACCTCTTTAAAATCTCTCAGTGAGACATGCTTTTACAGGAGACTCTTTCCGGAGTAGTGTAAAGAGCTTGGAAAGAAGGCAACTGGACTTCTTTAAGTTTATTGAAGACTTATTTGGCACCTTTCTAAATTTTAATTTCAAGGACTCACACATGAATTCATATAATTAAGCACTTTCTAACTATCACACACTGTCTTTCTCTAATGGATTTTTCTGAAGAACTTTGGGGATCAAACCACTGACCTTCTTTTTATCAGATGACCCGAATGACTGTGCAACATGTCCTGTTTTGTTCACTTATACCATTTCTGATTTACTAGAATGTTTCTACTGTTAAACTTACTGCAAACCAAGATATCAACAGCTACATGTTTGAAGCTAGCTTCCTGCGAATGTAATAGTGTAAGTAACTGCTACAGGTTCATTTTCCACACATGGAAGTTCACTGCAGGTTCCATTTAGGATTAGGCTTAATCCATGTATGAAAAAGCCACTGATGTAGTTTATCTTCACAGAAGAGATATATTTAGTGTACTATATAACAAATTTTAGTGATATATTAATACCTCCAGCTCCAGTCCCAGTCTGAGTATGTTTTTTTACCTGCCTGATTGGTTTGGATAAGTTTGGTTGCCTCTCAGCGTTTAGCTTTTTTTCATAGTCTTTGTAAATGTTGTTTTGCTGTAGGCTACAAAGCAGCTACCATTGTATCACTTTCTTTTACCATTTGAATCGTGCCAATTAATTCAAGTGCAGGTAACCATAGCAACTTCTGCATTCATGCTGTCTCTGGAAGTGGGGAAGGGGCTGCTGCAAAGAAACACTCATGTATTTTAAGCGAGAACTGTACAGCAGCATCTGATTTACTTTTTTATGGTTTTTGTGGGTGTGTCTAGCTGCCTCTGAGATAACTGGGAACTAGATATGACCACACTGCTGTTAGATTAGATTATGGGGGTCTGCTGGCATAGCCTGGAGAAGTGATTTACTAAAGAGTTTAACCCTGTGGAGTCTGACCTCTTGCTATCAGAATATGTAATTTTACTTTTTTTAATTGTTCTCAAGAGTCTGGGTAATCAAGGCTGTGTACTATCTAAAAATCTGGCCAAAAAAATAAAGTGTCCAAATATATGCATCCATCAAAGTTTCACATTTTGTTAAAGTAAAAACTACTTTTGGTGGTGCTAGAGGACATGTCATAGTCCAAAGGAACAAAGATTTATGCTGTGGGAATAATAAATGTTTATTTATTAAACTCTCAAGAGGCTATAATTGAAAGTCTTAGCCAGAAGAATCTTATCATCCCAAGATGTGAAAGCTCACACTGTGGAAACACCATGTGGAAACAATAATCATCCAATCAACACATCTCGTATGAGACGACCAACAAAGCACGTTTCTTGCTGAGCTCTCGGTGTGCCAGAGCTGCAGACACACACACACACACACACACGCAAACACTTTCACAGCTCTGACACACCCTCCAAAATACTCCAACGTGTAACTGGAGCATGACAAGGCAGAACTGAGTGACTCACCCCCGTCTTTATTTTATCATGTGACTGGAAACCTGTGACGTAGTGACAGGTTCCAGAAACATTCAGCCATTTAGCTGCAAACGAAAGCTCGTGTGTTGACGGTTTTTTAATGATCTAACGACTGACTGTACCTGAAAAGTCTGAGCAAAACCCGCTGAAACATGTTGAATGTTATGGTAACAAATTTATGATGTAGAAACTCCACGATTACAAAAAGCATCACAAGACTATTAACAGTGAGGTGATTCAGATTTCACAAGAGTTAGAAATGTGAATGTAATTATCATAAACTGATGGATGGCTGCCCAATGCTTGGCTTTTTATTGACTTGTAATTCCAAGAATCTACTTTGCCGCTTCCTGGTATTGTTGGGGACCAAACTTTACCAGTGATAAAAGTCTATGAAGCTGTATACAGCTCCAGTGGGAAAGGGGCAGGTGATTCACTGATTCTACAAACTGCAAGACATGTATCGCAGTTATAAGAAATGTAGCTTAGGACACTACAAAGAATGACAACTTCTTTTGTTTACTTTCCATTATAAAATAAAGTTAGTTATGAATGAAATATTAAATATGGAGCAGCAAAACAATCAAGAAAACAATCCAAAGCTTCCAATAAAAAAAATCTGTATGAGCTTTGGAAAACCTGTTTTCCCCCAAGTGATTGCTGGAAATTGCTGGCAGCCAGTAGATGAAATTGGTCCCAAAGAGGTACATGCGGTGCTGCACATAGGAACTCCTTGCAGTTGCTTTGCTCACTAGCAGATTGCCACAGTTGCCACATGTAGTTGGCATGGACTTGCAAAAAAATTGCAGACTGCTCGCCGAGCGGTAGTAAAACTGTGAAAAGTGAGACGCAAACTAAAAAATGGAGACTGTTTGACTTCAAAGTAAAAGCTGGTCGCTCGTCAACCAGTCTCTAGGACTAAGCACTAGTAGATGTTTTTATCATTATCATTTTCTAGCCTGCTTTGTGGACACAAGTGTAGTTGGTGCTTTTTTTAGCGGAGGATCAATGCAAATTGAACAAGAGCACCTCAAGACAAATATCTACACCAAGTCTCTGAATCCAGATTAGTCTCTGATACAATCTTGAGAACATCAACAATGTCTTCTGATATTTATTATTTCAACTTATAGACATATTATTGCTGTTTCTTGAAGGAGACAACAAGGAGAGCGACTCCAAAAGTTAATCAATTCCTACCTCTGGCAACACTTTTATAAATATGTTCATACTTTTTAAATTAATCATAAAACCAAACCGTAAAACCAAAGCTTACCGTGGCAGATGCATAAAAGGAAACACAGGAGTTTTATTCAACGTGAAGCTAATTTGTAATACGCATGCACATCTCTCTGGTGCATGAATATAAGAGTGATAAAGAGAGTTTTCAGTTCATTTCTGCCTCTGTGAGTTGAAGTGATATTTAGTACAGTCACATAAGGACTTCTGAGCATCCATGTTGGTTCACTGCTTGACCGTGTTGACTTTGCATACAGTTACAGACTGTTAGCTGCAAAACTCAGAAGTGGTCGTGTCACTAGAGTCCGCCTGTTCGTGCGTACCTGCTTTGTATCAGCCCAGAATGAAACTGGGTCAGCAGCTTATCACATGTCCCCCTACATTTAGGCTACATCCTAAAACCTTTAACATCACTTTGCGCCAATTGTGTGATCAATAAGGAAACACTAGACGCAGGCATTGATATTCTCTTCAGTCTCCTATTCAAACTATTCAGCTGCATCCTCTCCATGCCCTTAAGATTTGCCCCTATTTACAGTCATGAATAATAAGGTATCCCAGTTTCCAACAGTACTTCAAGTGTCATGGCAAAATAAGGGCCTCTGTGTATTTGACAGGCAGACAAAGCACAGTTAACCTTGTAATGACTGGGGCATACCCTCCTCCATACAAATATGAAACATACTGTACCATTTTACGACATGCAACGGCTTCTTTGCACAGCAATAAATTTTCTTAGTCAATAAATGGGCAAAACTGAGTTGTGCAGTGTGAAAGCTGATCATTTTTTATATTCAATTTATGTAAGACGACCTTATAAAAAACCCTGCAAAAGTATTGCCTACTTTAATCAAGTTTGTTACTCTTGTGTTCTTAGAATAAATTACAAATATTTTCCTTATTATAAGATATAATTTAAAAAAAAAAGTCTACTGAGCTAGTAGATCTGATCTTAATTTCAGTGGAAAATAAGGCTTTATAAGTTGCAATTTAAGACCATAAACATGATCTAAAAGTGACCTTAGGCTCCAGCAACTAGCAATTTAAGCCTATTTTACTTCTGCTGGTCAGACAGGAAATGTATATGTGCTATCTTGGGATTTGTAAATGTGTTGAACCATTACTCGAAGTTATCACTTTCTGCAGACTGGAGCCTGGTTCAAGTGTGCAGAGCATGAAAGTAAGTAAAGTAAATGCTCATTATAGACTCAGATCATGGTTGGACTCAGATCTAGTGGACAATCCCAAATGACAAAAACGCACTGAAGCAGATAAACTGGGAATATTACTGTTATGTTAGCACTTAATGTGATAAAATGCAGAATATATTTGCAGTAAAAAACTTTTGTTTCATTCATTGTCTGTCTTCAAATCTCATATCTGCTGACTCTCATTCACATATAAAATAAAAATGTAGTATATAATGCCACCATCTCATCTACAACCTCATTTGACTTGACCAAACACACACATATACAGATCACAGTAGGAGGTCTGTATTTGTTAGGCAAATCTGGGGAATTAAAAAAAAATTAACTAATTAATAATGTGTTAGAGACCCAGTTTACTCTTAATTGTTACCCTGATCAGTCTGTCCCATTCTAACAGGAATTATTGGGGCGCCTGTTTAGCCTACTCCACAGCTCCACATTACACTTTAGCTCTACAATATTTGACCAGCTTTGCATTTAGGCAATCCAACCACAACTAAAGAGCATAATCCCAGTACCTTTAGTAATTAAATCCCCTCCAGATATCACATTTCACGTGGATTTTACACTGTGTGTGGAAATACTGACGATAAAGATCTGCTGCTGATCTGCTCACTTATTTTCACTTATTCACATTTGTTTTCACATTTGCACTGACACACACACACACACATGGAAACCCATGCCCAAAAGCTCCCGGCAGACAATTTTTGTGCTGATGTTAATCCCAGAGGCAGTTTGAAGGTCTGCCAGGTTTTACACAGTCAGCGACCGCACTCTATAACTTTACGTGGTATGACACTTTGGTGGTTGACTTGCTGTAGTACCTAAAGTTTGCAGTAGCATAGCTTATAACGTATAGCTTGGTTGTGAATATCTAGGAGGGAGGACACTTCACCAACTGACTTGTTGCAATGCTGGCATCTAATTACAGTTTCACAAATTCAGCGAGCGCATCGGAACAACCCATTCCTTCACAAATATTTATAAAGGCAGACTGCACATCTAGGTGCTTGATTTTATACACCTGTGGTAATGTGACTAAAAGCACCTGAATTCAAAGAACAAGATTTGTCGCCCAATGCAGTTTAGTGTAGATCATATACAGAAACAAAAATAAATAATTAAAACTAACTCACCAGCCGGTTCTCATCAAACACCTCGAACAGCAGACGATGCTTCTTGGGATCAACCTGAAACACGACAGACACTTTAAAGTCAAAGCTGCTTAATCGACCAGTACAATAACCAAGATGCGTGGACAACACTGCCAGAGTAATTCAAGTGTCACATGTTATGGCTACATTTGATTTAAATCTGATTTTGGAATCATGTTTTTCTAAGTAAGCATTGATTTGACTGATATCGCATCAGAGTACATTCGTTTTATAAAAAAACAAAAAAACATTACATGCATTTTAAAATGTGCTTAATGTGAATCACATTTCACTTACTCTGAAAAAAAATTCTTCATTCCACTTGGGGTCCAGTGTCTTCGGGCCAAATGAAAAGAGAAAAGAATAAAATAAATCAACGAGATATGAGCACGACTTCAAAAGCAGGTGTTCATGCATTTACCTTTTTGATGGTTTTGGTCTGAAGGCTTGCGATTTCTCCAGTGACAGGATCATACAGGGACAGTCTGGTATAGGGATCACTGCAAAGGAAAAACAGAGACTCACTAAGTCATTGGTCTATACAGATTCAAACAGTTATGATCTGCTTCCTGCCCTCAGCGGTTTACTCAAAACACTTAATATCAGCCTCTACCTTCAGAACGTAAGAAACATTAACGAAATTGTTCCAGCTTGACATGCTCATAATTGCAGTTTCTAATTTATTATAATTCTAGGAACTGTGCATAGAAACCACATCCATCAAAGAAACTGTATTATTCATTGCTCTCTCTTAACAAAGCATTAGTAATGCATTAAATGACGAGCGCTCCACTAGAGCGGTACTAATAGAGCAATTTTGGCCATTACGCGAACAATTAAACACGAAATGGACATAAAGACAGAAGAGTCCCAAAACGACCAACAAAATCAACAGAAGCTCTCAATTATGCGTCTTTGCTTTGTATGCCGTGCTATGTGGAAGTTAGGGGAATTATTTTCAACTTTAAAAAACTAAAAGTGGGGGAAAGGTATGAGTGAAAAGTGTTGTAGACACACTGGTTTGTGCTTCTTTGGAGGGAGTCCCAGAGTTACAACAGTACAACAAATCCCCAGAAAAACCCTGAATGAGGGGTGGAAATAAGAAGGGTAGCCAGCTGTATCTAAATATTTGAGGAATGTTAACCATCAGAAAACAGAGTTTAACACTTTAAGACCTAGCATAGAACCAAGTCCGCCAGAGCTTATATTATATTTTTACATGTTGTAGTGCCATTTTTGGGAGCATTTCAAGTTGATATACATCAATACAAGGATTATAGCCCAAATTTTAATAATATGTATGCATTAAGTTCATAGTAATTACATAAATTGCAAAAAATGCAATAAACTACAAAGAAATTGAAAATCGTTTTTCTTTTTTTAACATATATTTCTAGTTAGAGAAATTTAAGAGGCTTATCCCTCAAAACTGTAAATACAAAAAAGTTGCACAAAATAGTTTCCCACCACAGGAAATTTATTTTAAGTGTCTTCATAGTTTTATTTTTGAAATACACCAATTTTTATATACTGCAGGAAAAACGAAAATAAATATTATAATGGAAATTTGCAAAAAAACAGCATATGCATCAAAATAAACTATTTCCAGCAGTGCAATATGAGTCCTAAGCATCCCAGAAACGACACAGAAAGTCATAAAGTCAAACATAACTTTTAAAAGCACAAGTATAGGCTCATAAGGCCCTGATGGTAAAAAACTACATTTCCGCAAAATAATGTCACTTCCGGTTTTGGGCAGGTCATGGCGGACATGCGATAGTTCGCGCTGATGGACGTAGGAAGTGTTACAAACAGCTGATCGGATCGGCAAAGCGTGTTTCTGGAATATTATGTTTTTGTTGCTGCAAGTGCTTTTTATGCAGTTTTTGCAAAGCTATATGTGGAAGGAAACTGTGACTTAGGACAAGCTGATGGCATAAGATGTAAGTACAACTCCTCCGGCTTCATATGCAAAAAATTTTATTGCGCTAGCTTACGTGGTTGCAGTGCTACCGGGATTTAAAAATAGTTACGCAAAGTGGAGCGTGCCCGCTCCGACCGGCTTTAAAGGGTTAACTAAAGCTTTTCTGCAAATGACACAGAACAAAGTCCTTCTGTTTTTTGGAACAAATGGAGGATTTAATATGAATCAGTGATTCACAAATTCTAGTAAGCTCTGATTGTAATGTAAAGAGGAAACAGACAGGAACAAAGTGCCCCCTGTGCTCTGGAAGTTGGTGACTTAAGATTTCTTTCAAATCTGCTGTGAACATTTTTAATAATCATCGATTTATTTACATAAATGATCACAAAGAAATTGTATGGTTGTCAAGTAGCACATGTTGCTTTTCTCTTTAGATGTCCTGCAATGCTGCACATTAAATATGTTTGTATTTTGAATCGCTGATAAAGCTAAATGAGAAATGCCAAAGAATCACACTGAGGTTTGGGGAAATTTATTTAGAAGATAAAAAACATTAGTCATATATTTCTAAAACATTGGATTAGTCTAATCAATCAAACTGGAGAACAACCTGTAACTCTTTTGATTTTAAAGGTTCAGGCTTCTAATTCTGCTACAAGTGTGTGTGATTTTTTTAAGTTTACGACAGTTGATAATCCTATTTCTAATTTCATAAAGGAAGAGCTCTGAAGGTCATGTGGTATGTGGTTAGATTGCAAAACACATTAGTGACAATGCCCTGACCCCTGAGTCTCAGACTTTTCCAACACTTCCTGTGTTGGAAAACAGTGGCTGTATTAAGAATGGCCACTTAAGGCACAGGTGAAATTATGTTGTTGTTGTTTGAGCAAACTGGCATGAAAAACAGACCATGTTCCTTCAGCTTACCTGGCTCCAAGAATATCCTTTTTGGCCAGTCCAATTCCAGCAATGACTTTCACCTTCAGGATTCTGTTATCCTCCTGAATCAACAAAATAAAATAAAACAAGTCTATTTACAGTACAGTAAGATACAAATAGGGACAGAGACTGCATACAGCCTACAGCTTTGACTTCTGCTGCACATATGTACACACACAGGCAATATTACTCAGTAATCATAGTTTTCTGACTTTTTATTTATTTTTAACTTGTGTCTTGTTTGCACACTGTGGGTCGAGAGTGTAATGATATTACACTCCTGTGCGTGTCCTGTAAACATGGCAGAACTGACTTTGACTTCAGTCCAGTCCAGAGTTATCCTAAACTGGATAAGCAGAAGAAAACGAATGGATGGATGCATGGATGGATGAGGACAAGCATGAGGCGACTTAGGTGTATTTGATTATTAAGACTGAGCTATCTGTGTCGCTGAGTCAAGAGTTTGGATTGTAACACTGGACCTAAACTTCTTAAATCTTCCACCTGCCCAGTTTATAATAACTCTAAAACTAATGAACACTAAACTGACACTTACCTTTTCATACAACACAAACTAAACAGAAAACCCACAAAAAGCACTCTTATTATAGCTTCATAATATAGTAATAATCTGCGCATGGGCAGTCTACTGTATACCGATGACTTGTATGACAACAGGTGTCCAATAAGTGATAAAAGGCAATAATAAGAGTGTACCAGCACTGATGCAGTGTGGCTTCAGTCTGATCGTTACCACATGCATGCACGCACACAGCTCGCCGTGCAAGCACGCATGCAGTGGTCTCAGGGTGATGTAACATCCTCACAACACTTGGCTCTTGTGCCCCATTTTTACCGTAAAATCAGTGAATCATCGGGAGATTTCGCAACCTGTCACACTGACCCGAGCTCCTTACTCTGCATTCCCTGTTTTGCTTTCTTGTCCTTCTCTGAATCTTTTCACAGACATCTGCTGCTTCGTTAGAGCTCAGTTTTGTTTGTTTGTTTTGTTTTGTTTTGTTTATCTTGAACAAACACAAAAGGCGTTGACAGCCCAGGAGACGGCGGGTTTCCTGCCCACGAAAAACAAAAGCTCTATTATTTTCAAGGCTCCTCTAACACTGCCTGGCAGTAGTTGGGAGATTTTCAAACTACATCGATTGTCTGCTAATAGGTAACACATTTATCTGGCGGAGACGAAACTCCGAAGCGAACAGACGCGGTAAGTTAGGGAGAGTTAGCTCGCTAACTCGACGCTCCGGTTAGTTTTTAGGTTAGCTGCCGTTGGTTAGCTGGCTAACGACAGCGGCCTCGTTTATAAACCCCCCCAAGTTTACCTCATCTGTCTGAAGTCCTGAGATCTGTGAAGAAACTGAAGCCATAATAGTATCCTCGCCCTTCTTCCTCCCACACAGCGACAAGAAGAGGAAGAAGAAGAAGGAGGTGGCGGTGCGACAGTCAGTGCTCCGCAAAGGTGTGCTTTTCCACTCCGCTGTAAGTGAGGTACTCCCTCCGTGTGTTTACCCTGCTGGATGGCGTGAAACTAACCTACTGATAAAGCTGTGACACCTTCGTCACTCTGTATCCATCCTCCTCCTCCTCCTCCGCCTTCTATTCCTCCTCCTCCTCATGCTTCCTCTTCCTCTCTGGGTCCCCCTGTCACAGCCTGAGGAAACCCAGAGGGAGCTTCCTAGAGATCGATGTAATGTCACAGTGCGTGCGTTATCTAAAAGAAACCATACATGTTTATTACAACGTAAATGAGACAGGCATTAAACAGGTTGGTCGCACTGATAGAGAGTAAAAAGCACATATTTGAGTGAGAGACGTGTTATGAAACAAAGATAATATATTCAATTAACCCGATTTTTAAAAAAAATTAGTTTAGTTTTGAGTTTAGTTTTTTCCCAAGGGTTTCCACTTCCCCATTTCAGTTTGAAAAGTTTAACTTTAGTTTCGTTTTAAAGGCCTACTTTCTCTGACAGTACTATCTGAACACTCTTAGGCAAGCTTTGTTGTAATTTCTTTAAGTAGTCTTCAGGAAGCACGTTGAGCTACTGTTGTGATTTGGCGCAATTTAAATGAAATTAAACTGAGTTCCCCAGACTTCTTAAAGGACATCTAAAGCCCTTCTTTGGATGTTGGCTGCCTTTATTTTCCACTCTCTATTGATATGATTCCACACTGCTTCGGTAACCTTAGGGTTCAGGCTCTGGAGAGGCCTGATATTATGTCAAATATCTTTTCAAACTGTGAATTGTGTCAAATGTTTCCAGATGCTATTGCGTAGTGAATCAAACTCTGATGGTACGTTTCTGTGTTAATAATCCCATCAATTATGAGCAGATCTCTAATATCACTGGCTAAAATACAGCCCCAAACCATGGTAGAGAGTCTGCAGTGTTTCTGAGCTAAAGAGCTGGGATGCCCAACAAGGCCCAGGGGCCAGAATTGGCCCACCAAAGACTCCCACATGGCCCACTGGATGGCTTTGAAAAACGTGAATGTGGGCATAAATTTTAGACTTTTAACTGTATTTTCAAAGATTTTATGACTTTTCTACCTCACTCATGACCACTCATACTACACCAAAGTAAAATGACAGAACGATTGTATTTTTTACACTATCTGCTATATATATTTATGATTTTTACAGTGTCTTCACCATTAAAATTAAGACAAATAAAGATGACCGTCTGTGTAATGAACCTTTTCTGTAAATTTGCATATTTATTTCTCACAATTTAAACCCAAAGCAGCATTTCTGTATCATACAAAAAGACTGATATATATTGGTGTAATTGCGCTTCTTTTGATTATGATTAAACTTCTTTACACTGACAGAAAGATGATTTCACTGGTCAGTGCTGTAGACAGTCACTGTTGTACCTCTATCCTGACCTCCTCCATACACATTAACAACAGTTCGAACCAAAAACTTTGCATTTATCTCTCTGTAAGAAGCGTTTCCACAAGGACAGGGCTTTTACATAATGTCCACCTGCTGTGAGATAACATTTTAAGCCTGACACTTCTTGTTTTGTCCTACATGTGTCCAGCTTTCTCCATTTTTTAAGGAAAAAATGCACACCATGCCAAGATATGAAGCTTTCAGCTAATAGATCTTTGGGATTCACCTTGTTGGTAAAAAAAACCAAACAAAAAACAAACAAACTATTTTTTTATCTGTCAAACGGTGTGATTTTTCTTTGATTCAACTACAGAAATGGAAACAAATGATGTGTTTTGTGATAAGGTGCTTATAACAAAGTGCCTAAAGATAGAATTTTAAATTTATTCTTTGCTAAATTGTCTGTTATGTCTAGACACAACACTTTTTTTAATGTCAGAATGATTCATAGGTTACTGTTAAGTGGCTTAACAAACAATAACGGCAACAACAAACATTCCTCTACAATTTATCAGGTACAAGGACTGCACCGGAAGTGAGTGAAAAAGCAGCCAATTTCCAAAGAAAAGCTCCAAAAAGCCTGAGAGCACCTTAAAATAATTCCAAGAAAGTTGATGTGGTGCAAGACCTTTCCACAGTATTGTACTGCACTTCTAGATTTTAGTTTAGGTGTAGTTACCTATAACACTTATACAACACCAATAAAACTCCAATACAAATACAAATGCACGTGAACGCAATTATAAAAGCATAAACTGTAAGATCAGCGACACTGCTTAAGATTATAACATCACAATAAAGGAAATTTACAGATGAAGAGGTGGAAGGAGTAATCTGTTAGACAACCATGGAAAAATACTACAAGAGTGGTGACTCGGTGTCACATGGCATGTTGAGCTGCTCTGCATTTTTATCTGATTCTTCCCAAATTATTTTGACAGTGTCTCACATGTTTATAGGGCTGTTAAACTAATTTTAGTGCAGGAGTTATATGCCGTCAAATTTGATCAATTGTAAAATACATAATTAAAAAAAACAGCTTTTCACTTCTTCATTTTAGTGAAAGTACATTCTGAAAACATTCACATTTAATGAGTCAAACTGATCCAAAATGATGAACAACCGTTTTAAGAAAAAGCTATTTCTTTTTGGGCTTTTTAGCCTTTATTGAAACAAGAAACTTACAGTAAATGGCTTCAGGGTTGACTCTAACGCAGGTTTCTGCAATATTCTTATCACATTTGGTCACCCGCTCAACCTGGTGGGCTATACCGGCGCCCAGGAAAAGCTTTATACATGTCTCAGTTTTTCCACATTCACTGATTTGCTTTCATCATGTGAACATTTACAGATCCAGAAAGCCACAAAAAACATCACATGTAGAGTTTTTATAACTAAGCAATTAATTGCTTGCTGTTGTTGTTGTTGTTTTGTTTTTGTTGTTATTTTTAGAAGTAATTAATGATTTCACTTCATGAAGATGAAGTCTAAACATGCTTAAAAGTCAAAACATCCACTACAATGATACTAATACACAATTAAATATGAAATAAATATAAATTTAAAAAAGCTTAAAAATGTTGTACACTTGCCTTTATTTAATTTGAATGAGGAGAGAAAATAAAAATGTAGGCAGATGTAAACGTTTTAGGAATGTAAACCATCTATAACACAAAGTTTAACTCAAGTTCCTTCTTTTTTTCAACACAGAAAAAAGTCCTTCTGTGTTTTTTGGAGACTGGAGGACGTGGCACAATCTTCCAGCCCTGAACGTCCCCAAGGTCAAACCGTGCAAAAAACTCAAGGGCCATATATCAGGCTCTACAGGCCTCACTTAGCGTGTTAAATAAATGGAACAATGTGACAAAAGTGGAGATGTTTGGGCATAATTCACAGTATCACATTTGGTGAAAACTAAACATAGCATATCAGCACAAATGCCAACACACTGGTGAAGGGCAATGATTTGGGCTTGTTTCACAGTCACAGAGCCTGGGCAGTTTGGCGTCACTGAACTCCCCTGTATGCCAAAGTATTTTAAAGTTAAATGTGAGGCCGTCTGTCTGCTAAACCTTTGTCCACATTGTGTCATGCAACAGGACAATGATTCCAAGCACAGCAGCAAATCTGCATCAGAATGGCTGAAAAACAAAAGAACTAATGGCCCAGTTAAAGCTTCATCCTGATTGAAATGCTGTGGCGGGACCTTAAGAAAGCTGTGAATGAACAAATTCCTGCAAAAATCAATGAACTGAAGCTTTGTTATTAAGAAGAGTGAGCCAAAATTCCTTCACAATGATGTCAGAGTCCGATAAAGTCATACAGGAAACAGTTACTCCAAGTTACTGCTGCTAAAGGTGGCTCTACGCGCTGCTGAATCTGAGGCTGTATCTAGCTTTTCAAAAGACTGCATATGAGTTCCTGTCAAAATGTGTCAAAACTGGAACTGATCAGTGAATCACAAATTCCCGTATTCACCTCTTCACAGAAATAATCAAGATTTTGTTTCTCACTTTTCAAATGTGAGGATTTGTTGTTTTTCCTTTTTTGTGTGTGTATCAATGTAATGTAATTTATATATATTTGGGTTGTAACATTGCAACAAGCTCTTTGTTGTGTTGTTGTATTTTCTAAAAGTGCTACACAAATTAAGTTCATTGTGATAAAATGCAGTATATTTGTCGATGCCATGCCTTTAACCTGCATAGTTTTTTTTATTTATATCAAAATTTCATGTGTCCTGCATTGTCCCACACAAACATGCCCTTTGCCCCACATTTAGTTTGTTGGGGTCCGGTCAGCTCAGCACAAACACAGTATTTGTAAACACACCTTATGCAGACGCTGCTTCAGTTTTTGATATGCATTTGTAATTGTACCCTGTTAGATGCATTTATAAGCTGTTGTAATCACAACTTATATAATGTACAAAAGAACTTATGGCTCAGTTACCATGTGGCTCTCCTTCCTGAGACACAAGTTTCCTCGCACTAAACAATAAAACATTCACGGCCTCATCACTCTTGCAGTCACACAGCTACTGTACACATACCTTGGTTTGTTTAAGTTCTTTCTTTGTGTTTCTTTCATTGAAAAGAAACCATTTGCATTCATCAAGCCAGTTCTCGTGGCTGTGCAGCCTGATTTGTGACAAGTGGGGACCCGTCCAATAAATCTAATTTCCTGGGTGTGTCACATTTCTTTTTATAACTAAAGAACAGCTTGCATTCACCTAAAAATCGCCAAGGTTGGAAAAATGTCTTTGTCCCACAGAAGAGTCTTTAAAAAATAGATAAGCCTAAACTTGTTTAGTAGATTGAATTCAGCCATGGTGGACACTGAGCAGAGGGAATGCACATGCTCAGTCTCAACCGCCTGATGTTGATATTATGCTTTATGGTTAGGGTATGTGTCTTTTTATGTAAGCTTTTATTGTTTTGTTGTATGTATATACATACATACAACATGCATGTGGAGCCTGTTATAGTCAGTAAAGATAATAGCCATAATAAGGGTCACATTTTTCCTTTAAAGTACAAGTTTGTGCACAAAAAGTGCTGCATGCAGGATTTCACCACAGACAGTGTCAGCTACAGCAGGTGTGGAGTGGAAGCTGTGGCTCCAACCTAATTAAAATGAATTAAGGATTCAGCAGTACTAAAAAACTGTATGCAGAGGGAAACTGAATAATTATGTCATATCGCTCTTCATATTTTTGTGGGTATTTTTTTGACATTTTGTATTAATGTTGATAATTTAGCCGTATAAAA